TATTTTCTATTATAGACTCTCTGCTAAACACAATCATATGAGTAGTTTTCATCGCAAAGTTGTTTGATTTTCACTTATTATTATTGTATGACTTATATTGTTAAGTGTTTTGGTGAACGAATTAGCAAAATAATACATCATTTAACAACAAATGATACATTGATGACATTTATGATCACTATTTGAGACCATTTCTTCGTCCTATACTTTTACTCATAACTAATTCAATGGATATTAAAGCTTTGCTATTAAGCCATTCAGGTATTCATTTAAGCCTTAATTTGAAAGAATATTGAATTTGTATTTTATTTCTCTAAAGACATGTCTTGTTTTCATTTTCTTAAGCCTATTATTAACACATTGTTTAATATTATGACAACATTTGACTGAATTTTATTTTTAAATTTTAAATATTTGTCTCACATGTACTTATGGTAATAAAAATCAGTTTAAAGTGTTTATGAATAACACGTTTACATTATTTATCAAATGAATTGCTTTTTAATTATAGCCATAACTACATTTTATGAATTAGCGCCTTACAGTTTATGCTTATGTATTCACACATGAATTTTAAGCCTAATTTCTATTATTAGTTTATGTTTTAACGAAAGTGTTTATTATATATAAGGAAGAGTTTATTAAAATGTTAGAAACAATGATTTTTTTTCTATTTATAATGATTTTACAATTTATGCAATTTCTCAACCCTTTTACAGAATTTATCGTAGTTTTCCTCAAAATAATAATCATTAAATATTACTGTACTATGTATGCTCTGATGCTAAACATAGATGTAAAAAGTAGTGTTTATTAAAAACAGTGTATAATTTGCTGCAACTATAAGCATAAACCTCTTAATATTTTAAGCCTTGAATAGATTATTAACTTTTTATAATCAAAATAAATGAATATTTATACAGAAGTTCGCCCTTTAAGTTATTTTTATATATTATATGTTTTCACTCAATATCTTAATATTATTTTAGACAAAGAATTTGAGTTAAAACTGAACTCAGAACTAGAGGGAGAGAGAGAAGCTATGATTTATTTATTTATTTTTATACATATTTATTATGAAAGATAGACTGAAAGCATTTCTCTGTTATGAATAAGTTTGAAAAATCAATTTTTCTAAAAATACATTTCCAAAAAGCAATTCACTTATAATATAAGAGCCGCACAGGCCTTCGTTTTTTGACAGAATATTCTCATCCCTTTTGTTGAACTCATTTGAGCTCCAGTTTGGTGTTGCCATTCACGCTATACATAAGCATTACATTTGAGCCAAAAGTTCAAAAATCTCATATTTATTCTGACAGCAAAAACTATTTTATTCTATGCATTGATAGCATTATAAAAATAGATTTATACCTTTATATACTAGTATAAAATGCATTAATGAAACAAAAGTGGCAAAAAATAAGAATTAAAATCTTATGTTACAATTGAAGACCTAAGTTAATGGTGTCATTAAATAAGACAACACCTACTCTATGGTCTAAAATACATATTTGCCTACAGTTTGTAAGTCTATTTATGACCACATCTTGTCATTTATATGTGTATGTATTGATCATAAATCTAATATAAATGTTGAATCAATAGTTGAACGAAAGAGAAGAATAGGAATAAAATGGAGAATATATTGAATAGAGAAAGCATTCATTGGTATCTATTTATAGCACTTGTTTTTCAACGACGACCAGCAAATAGAGTGCATAATAGATATACAGTAGAGATAGTTATATGATATGATGTTAACAGCGAAGCCATTAACTGTTCACTTGTGTTCACTCTTGTCTCTCCTTTTGTTATCTCATAGCAAATAAGTACAACGAATTCATTGCAAAAAAATCGCTCAATTACTCTCGCTTTTTAAAATATACCTGATGTTTGTTTTAAAACAATGGCATCTCATATGTGTGTTAAGTAATTAGTGTGCTTTACTGTAAATGATAAGTTATGCGAGTATTAATTGCGATATTTTTAAGGTCACAAAAGCATCGTTTAGTGGTATTAATCAAATAAATCTTGATTTTAAAATATATAATAATATTTGAATAAAAATAACTTAATTGTGTTGTCGTGGAAACTGCTATATTTTTCTAGACTACACATAATATTATTAGTATTTTCATTATAACTAGAAATTGGAAAACAGAATGAAATTATTCTCATTATATGAATTAGTTTGCTGTGAATTAATAGATATATACAAATACAAGTAGTGTACAGTATACCGTATAAGTTTTAATACAGTACCTTTATATGAGTTATAAAAATAGCATTTATAATAATAATAATAATGTTATTGTGAGTTATAGTAGAGTAGATGTAAACTAATATAATATAATAGAGACTCGTATTAGTGATAAGTTTGGTGAAGACCGCCTATTCGTGTCTCCAATTCAATAAATATCTCATATTTTCTGTCCTATCACTCCACCGATCATATATAGTCGACACCAGAAATAGTTTATGCATTTCTTCATTCCTCCTTCTGTTGGTTAACTATAATCTTATTATAAGTGCTTTTTATGATAAAAATATTCCTAATTCTGGCAAATGTATCGCAAATATCCTCTAATAGTCTGTAACTATGTATTAGAGAGTTTGGTATTCATTGAGTGAACATCTATTTGAACAACATCTTATATTAGCAAACTTTTCCAGTCTATTATTAAACTATCTCTGAGCAAATATTTTCTGTGTTTATATTTTTAATTATAAGTTATTTTTACTCTATTGTGTTCTCCCGATATTCACTAGTAATTGATTTCAACACTCAGTATACTAAACGTTAAATGCAATGAAGATTTTACAGATAAGTTAGTTATACATTAAATTATGTATTAATTTTATTTAATACTATTATTAATAACTATAATTCATTATAAAATTCCACTCATTTCTCTGTCGTACAGATTCTATACGGATCTCACTTTTTGAAATTTTTTTATGTTGATTATATGAGCTAAGCATTTAAATATAATTTATTCCTGTTTTTATAAGTATTTATATTTTGCTAACATTTGTTACTTATATGATGAGAAATTATTCTCAATGTATTTCAAATAAGAATTCCTATGTAAACATAGAATTTATTATAGGAAATGGAGTTTATTTTAAAAGTTATTGATTCTTATTCAAACTGTGATTAAATATAAAGGTATTAATGAATTGAATTGATTTATCCATTATTATAGACCCATTGAGCTCTTCATCACCACATCATTCGTATCGCTCGCATACTATGGAAATAAACAGTCATTACATACAAAGAAAAGGTATTTCGTATAAAAATTATAACACAATTTATCTCAATTAAAGGCCTTTTATCGCCTCATTTCTCGTCCATTGAGTGGAAAATTTTGCGTTTATTTATATGTTCTTTATATACAATATATTCAAAATATTTCTCTCTTTCGACATTTTTCTTAAATGGTCTCTCATTTTATTGATTTCTAAACTATGTTTATATCATTTTTATATGAAAACATATATTTTATTGAACGTCAAAAACAATTTCTAAATGTATTTAGTATATTTAGTATAACTGCGAGCAATATGTCCTGTTATTTGTTGTTCACATCTCGTAATCGGTGTAGACTTCAAACCGAAAGTTCAAAAATTGTTGATATTTTTGATAGAAAGCCGTGTTTTTGCAAAAACCCTTCACATCACTGTTTATTATATGAATATATATCTTAAATAAGAAATTGTTATCACTTTTTTCAGGAAAAACATTTTTGATAAAAACATATTTTAATAAAAGTTCTTTAACTGAAATATTATCTCAATTTTTAAATATTGAACTCAAACAACAAATTTCATGTGAAAAGTCATTTCCAAAATAGATATTTTGCAGTAAAAAAGGTGTTTATACTTATAATTACTCAAATATTTAGTGTTTTAACAAAAGTTGGAAATATGTAATTAACATTAAAAAAAACTTTCGCAACAAAACACACAAATTGTAGTAAAAATAGCAAATATTTGCCATTAAATGTGTTTGAAACTTATTTTTTAATTCTAATAAACATTTCCACTTTTCAATATAGTTAATATTAACTTTTAGTTATAAGCTACCATGCTTCCTAAACAGTTTCATTTTAAAAATAAATTCTATAAATATAATGTGAATATTAAGAATTTTATATTAAGTGACAGTATATTTTTTAAAAGTGTTGAGTTTGACTATATTTTATAAAAAATTGTTACTGTATTGATTCAATGATTGATTTATAGGAAAACGTATAATTGTATTACTTTATTTATTTAGTGCAGTTAAGGTATTTAATATTAATGTTTGAAATTTGATTAAATTTATTTTAAATATATTACTCAATAGTAATAATAATATCGAATAAATATTTTTTTTATTTAGAAATTTTTTAGCTTTTTAAAATCAGTTAAATCTATTAATAAAATCATTGATTTTTATTACCTGAAAGTAATAGTAAAATTGTAATTTGATAATAATTCTAAGGTCATACGAAAAAAGTCCTTTTCATTAAATTATATTTAAAGAAATTATATTTAATATAAGTTTTGCTGTAATTTCCGTCAGTGTTGGATGTATTTTATGTCTATAAGTTATTATTTAGTTGTCGAGTATTGTCTAAATAGTTAAGATGCCTAACAATTCAATAATGCTGTTAACGAATAAGTTTTCTGAATGTAATTTAATTATAATTATTATAAAACCTATTTTAAGCTATTTTTAAATGTTTCAATTTAAATATTAATATAAATAGTCTAAACTGACATCAAAAACATCTTAATTTATTTTGTTTTTAAAATTGATTGATATTTAAAATATGTAAATTAGTTTTAAATTAAATAATATTTTTGAGTAAAAGTTTTACAAATATAATTAACTATGATCTTAAGTTATTTGAAGTGACAAATAATAAATATTTAAATGATGTTGTCTATTTTCAGGTGAAATAAATTCAGTCAATTTTATTCCAAGTGATAGTAATAGTGGCCGAGAAATGGCTAACAATAGTCAGAACTCAGTGCTGAATCCGGCCCTCCAGGAGCAACACCTCCAGTTCCAGCAACAACTCATTCAACTCAAACAACAGCAACAACTGCAACAACAGCTCCTTCTGCAGCACTTCCAACAACAACAGCAACAGTTGGCCGAACAGCACGAGAAACAGCTCCAGGAAAGGATCAGGGTGAGTCCGCCATCCATTTCGCTTCAATAGCCACCTTTCCCTTCATTGCTATTTTCTGTTACTATTGTATCAATTATTTAGGAAATTTTCGAATTTATTTAATTCTTATATACATGTTCATGTAATATTTAAATATATAGTTTAGTAAAATCTATTGTAAATTAGCATTTGTTTTGGAATAACCGCTAATATAATACTTAATGAATTTTATTAAAGAATTATAGGTATTTCCCTTATTTTATAATACTATTACCGTGAGTTATATAAGGCCAGGTATATTTTGAATTAAATAACTGTGTAATTGATTAATAGCACGTTTTAGAAAGTCCCCCATTTAAGGACACTTTTACTAAAATGTCGTAATACTTTAAAATTAGAGGTTTTGTCCTATTAGTGAATATGTTTTGCTGATGTCTTTAATGTTATTATTAACAAAAAACCATTTATACAATAGATATTTTTGTTTATAATTTTTTTATAAGTCATCAAGTGGCTATATTTATTGTTATTTTATTTATTTTATAAAATATTTCAAAATATTTACTCAATACAATATTTCCATTTAATTGCAATTGAGTTTTTACTTTATGGTAGTAATAGACATATTTATATTATTAGAATTTAGTCAATTATATTATAAAACCCGAATTAATTTCAAATATGTTAATCATATGAATTGAAGAATTAATATAAGAATTGATTTCAAATACAGTTAAGTTTTTTTTAAAACTTAGTGAAGTGTTTTGTTTTGTATATTAATTATCGATAGTAACATGAAAAATCAAGTTATCGCTGGTCTCGAAGTAGCAAATAGCGTTAATGAATGACTAGAAATAAATTAAATTTTATATTAAAAAGAAATAAAATCTATTTTCCAAAATACATCTACTTTTTTTGTACAGTTATCTGTCTAATGGTTAGACTATTAAAAATATTTTTAAATTTTGAAATTGAATTTATTATTGATATATTTAATTACTTAATTTTGTTGACTAATTATATATGGTATTAAATTTAAAATTAAAATTATATGAAAACTAAATGATATATTAAGAAACGCGATATTAATGATTGATATAAATTGCAGGAATATTTAGAGCAACAGAAGAAGATAGAGGAGGAACAGAGGGAACAGAAGGAAAGGGCGGAAAAGGAGAAGTTGGAGGCACTGAAGAAGAAGGAGAAACACGAACAAAGCGCCATCGCTTCCTCCGAAGTGAAGCAACGGCTCCAGGAGTTTGTTTTGAGCAAAAAGCAGAGGGAGGCCGCGGCCGCCAACAGTGCCAACAACTCACCGCCCACTCCCGGCACCAGAAACTGGTCAGTACTTCACTCACCACTATATTGCCATATATTTGTTTCAATTCATACAAATTGACATTTTGTTTATCACTTCCTTGTAATATGATTATTACGGTAATAATGGCTAATTCTATGACTTATTTATTAAGTTTTAGTTTTTGATAAACATTTGGATATAATTACTAATCTTTAATGGTTTTATTTATATGAAAATTCATTAAAATCAAACAATGATTATTTATAAACATGTTATATAATATTTATAATTATATTTTAAGAATTATATTTAAATTTTGTTAGCGAGTAAGCCCTTTATAATAGTGAATAATGATAAATAAGTTGTGATATTTTAGAAAGTTTTTAGTTTTACTTTTTTACTGAAATTTTATTTTAAGATTTATAAATATAGTGAAGCTATACTAAATAATCACTTTATTTATAGGCAACCAGTTATTGGAAAATACGAGAACGACTTCCCGCTCCGTAAAACAGGTAACCATTTGATAAGATCTAAACAAAATTGAAAAAAATAAAACAATGATATAACGAAAATACACCACAAACTACAACTAAATTAATAAATGAGTTGAGCATTTGTTACGATTTAATTGAATTAAACAAATTTTGTGTGCAGAACTCATTGAATGAAATACTAGTACAGTATATGATGTATGAGAAATGAATAACATAAAAATGCTTTAATGATTGTAAAAACTAAACATTTGTTAATTGAATGTTTTGGTGTTTATACTAATGCTTACGACTGATGGCATGTATTGTTTGTTTCAATCAGCGTCTGAGCCCAACCTAAAAGTGCGGTCTGTCTTAAAGGCAAAAGTGATTCAACGCCGCAGTTCTCCGCTTCTCAGACGCAAAGATAAGGCGTCCCCTCTCAAGAGGAGGTCTACCCTCACAAGTACGGCATGATAATCATCACTACTAATACACTATAGTCTATACATTAATATTAGCTATATTTCATACATTAATTATTATTAATATTACCATAATTTATTGCTTTCAATATATTATTAGCAATTGTTTTCTTTGAATTTTATTGTAATTACTAATACCTAACTCTATATTTAAGTTTAATCTTATAAGTCATGTTTAATTAACTAAATTTAATTTTAATTAGTATTCTGATATACATATTTATTTTCTTAAACTTAATCCTTTAAAAGGAGTTAGATTATTGAAAAATTATTTAAAATACCCACTATTTAAACATAATTTCTAATCAGACGGTATCTCAGGTAATGGAATACCCGAATGTCTGTCAGAGTCACCGCCGAGCGGTTCCAATCATTCAAGTTTCCAATCGAGTGCTGGAAGTACTCCTATCCAAGAGGTAAGCCCTTTGTTAATTATTTATATCATTTTACTCATTAGTATTGAGTATGAAGGTGCTATCAAGCGATTAAGTAATATGTTGTTTATGTTATTATGTAAATATTCCTGACTCAGGAATCTTGAGCCTAAGTTATAACTTATCTTGCTCTTAATAGAGATATGTTTTGGTGAAATTATGTTATAGCTTGATATAATTCTATAAAAATATTTATGTTTATGTTTATGCTTACTTGTTAGTAGAAAATAAGCGGGAGAACTAAATGTAAATGATAAAAGTTGTAAATTAATGATTAGCGTAATTTTATGTAAAGTATTTATCATTCAATTTGTAAACATTTTATAGTGTTTTTTGAAAATACAACGAAAGAGGTCTGTGTTTAATATAGTGTATAGAGTTTGGTAGCAATAATATATGAGTTGCAGAATATTCTATAGTGAGCTAAAAATAAACACTTCTTTTTGGTGTGTGGGCTCACATGGAGAGCGTTTGCGCCAAACATTTTGCAATATATTTTTGGAATCGGTTCTCATTCTAAGAATAGCGATGGCATAACATGTAGTGAATAGTCATCACTAAAAACACCACTTAATCTGTATTCCCATTGCCAGCCATTTGCAGCCATTACTAAACCATTACATTATATATTTGGCACAAACTCTATAACCAAAAATTATTATTATTATTATAGCACTAATACTTCTGTATATAAATATACATAATTTGAGGCATTTGTAAGCACTGGAAGCCAGCCCAGCCTTGGCACTCTTTACTCAGAGAGTGAGTGAGAGAGTATGTGAGTGAGTGAGTGAGTGAGAGAGAGAGAGAGAGAGAGCTAAAAAAGAAAGTCCACACAAACTGCTCTCAAATTAGTTTCTCTCCCCTTCTTTGAGATTCTTTCACAGGATTTAACATAAGTTCACTAAAAATAGCATTCAATGTATATTTGATTCTTTGGCAATACATGTGTTTTGTTGAATGCATTTCCACTCTTTAGTGCTCTTTCTGTGTTCACCGGAACTATATTTAGACGAGAAATGCCCCCAAAATTGCGCCAAATTTCGCATTCATATGAGAAGAGCTCAACATATCTTTTACACACAATTCTATAAATACATGGCATCTAATCATTTGCTCATAATTTTGAGATTCATTTTCTCTCAACTCTAGGCCTCTTTGTCTATCCATCCGTCTGTCTCTAACTATTCATTTATTTTGCATTTTTCAACAAATTTATCAAAATATAAAACCAAAACAAATTTCATAACCCTCTAGACATTAAGACATTGATTACTTCCATACAATTCAAATACACTAAACATTTTTCTAAATATTCTTCTCGTTAAATAACTTATATAAACAACTTAAATTAATTTATTTGATAGCATTTTCTAATGAACAAATAGTTTATTAATAAAAATTAATTATTGAATGTCTGTCCATATGGATGGTTAGGAACCGAGTCATTCGCCATTTAGTTCATTAAATCAGGGAAGCGTTTGTGATCTAACCCTCTATTCATCACCTTCTCTACCAAATATATCACTGGGAAGACCTCATGTGCCCAACACTACTACTAGTGCTGCAGTTGTAAGTGTTGTTGGAAATACTTTTAATTTGCATTTTCTTAAATGGTTTGCATTCTGACTAAACACTGATTTACATGACAGCACACGGAGGCAGGAAAGGCCATCACATCTGTGAGCGAGGCTCAGATGCGGGCCCTAAGATTCGCGATGCCATTGAACACCATTCACGCCCACCATTCGTCATCTGCTTTGCCATTTTACCCCTCATTGCCAGGTATGCAAGCATTAAACGGATTATATTGATCCATAACTAATGAACTGATTGGTGTCGACCACAGTAATCGAGGGTGAGTTCACACCGCCAACGAGTCCGGGTTATATACAGCAACAGATGAAAGTCCTCGAACAGACCAGAGTCTCGCAAACTCTACCACACAGTCAGTCCAGTGCTGTTACATCCATCACGGGCCAGTCGTATCCCTACCCTCCCGGAAGTGTCATCACTGACTCACAGGTAGCTCAGGCGAGACTACAGAGGAGTCTGCAGCGACCGTTGGGTCGGACACAGAGCGCTCCCCTGCCGTTAGGGCACCCAATGCTACAGCCGGGCGCACAGGGAATCATACTATCGCCGCAACAAAGCGAACAATACTTTCGCGAAAAACAACTCTACGAACAACAGCAGAGAAATCTTGTCAAACAACACATCCGACAGACAGTCCTAACGAGAGCCTCATCTAAGGGTCAGGTCGTGGAGAACGTGGAGGAGGAGACCGATGCGGCCGTCGCCCAAGAGATGAAAGACACCCTCTCGGAGCTGCAGCACGACCTGCCAGTGGGACCGGACGGGGTCATCGATCTGACGGCTGCCAGCAAACGACTGGCCACTTGTGATAATGAGCTGAACCGACAGCACAGAGAACGCGAAGCATTCCTTCAACAACAGCGCGATCTCATGTCACCGAGACTTTCGTATCAGACCGAACCCACTACAGTCAGCCTATTGGGACCGCACCCCCGACCCGGTCATCACCCGCACCCCAACCGCCCGCTCTCCCGAACGCTGTCGAGTCCGTTGGTGACGCTCAGCCCTAACGGCTGTCCCGAACCGCTCACTGTATCCACGCGTCATGTGTTCACAACAGGACTAGTTTATGACAGTCTTATGCTTAAACATCAGTGTATTTGTGCCGATAATTTCCATCACCCGGAACATGGGGGTCGACTACAAAGCATATGGGCTCGCCTTCAGGAGACCGGTCTGGCCGCCAGGTGTGAGGTATGACTCGATGTTCTCTCAATAATTGGTTCATTGGATTTGATTGATTTGATTCAATCGTTACAGAGAGTCCGCTCACGAAAAGCCACGTTAGACGAGATCCAGTTGTGTCACAGGTATTCATATATTAATCCATATATTGTTTGACACAAACTAATGGACGATATTCGCATCGCTTATAGTGAAGCCTATTCTCTACTGTTCGGAACCAATCCACTGAACCGACAGAAACTGGACGCAAGTAAACTGGGTTTGTATTGACGACACCACCACTCGTGACATTGTGTTAATCCATGTGTTTGTGTGTGATTTGCAGCTGATCTTCCGATAAAGAGTTTTGTGATGTTGCCGTGCGGTGGGATTGGTGTCGATTCGGACACCACGTGGAATGAGTTGCATACGTCCGGTGCCGCCAGAATGGCCGCCGGCTGTGTCATCGACCTGACCCTCAAAGTGGCCACAGGAGAGTGTAAGGTATGTACGACACGAATGAGTAGTTGGAGTGGCAAATTGAGTGACACCCGGGTGTTGTTGTCTGCAGAATGGGTTCGCAGTGGTGCGGCCGCCCGGCAGTCACGCCGAACACCAACAGGCGATGGGATTCTGTTTCTTCAACTCAATCGCTATAGCCGTCAAACAGTTGCAGCTGAAGCTCAAGATGGAGAAGGTGTTGATCGTGGACTGGGACGTACATCACGGCAATGGTCTCCAGCAGATGTTCTACAACGACCCCCACGTCCTCTATATCTCGCTTCACCGTCACGACGACGGAAACTTCTTCCCCGGAACGGGTGATCTCCAGGAAGTAGGTATGGGAGAGGGGGTCGGCTTCAACGTCAACATCGGGTGGTGCGGTTCGCTGAGCCCACCCATGGGCGACGCCGAGTATTTGGCAGCGTTTAGGGCTATCGTAATGCCGATCGCCCGGGAATTCAATCCCGATATTGTAGTCGTAGCGTCCGGTTTCGACTCAGCCAAAGGACATCCGCCTCCTTTGGGTGGCTATCAAGTGTCGGCCAATTGTTTCGGTTATCTCACTCAACAACTGATGACTTTGGCGAATGGGAGAGTGGTTATGTCTCTGGAGGGAGGGTATGTGATAAAAATGTTATTGTCTTTAATGATTACTCAACTCATAGACTATGGTTTGACTCGCAGATATGATTTGCCATCGATTTGCGATTGTTCTCAGGAGTGTGTGTCCGCTCTATTGGGCGATGAGGTGTCGGCTCTCAAAGATGAAGAGATGACACGAAAGCCCTGTCAGAATGCCGTCGAACTACTGAATCGTGTCGTTTCCATTCAATGTCTGTATATTGAATGAGAAATGTGTGAATGTATTGCTAATTACAATGTTATGTTTGTGACGAACAGCTGCCCACTGGCCAGTAGTGAGACGTTGGGCTCATCTCATTGACTGTAACTTCATTGATGCTCAACGAAAGGAGAAGGAAGAGTGCGAAACAGTCAACGCTTTGGCCTCTTTGACAGTCAGACAGTCTCTCAAGTAATTGTCTTCTACTCCATCTGTTCGCACATTTCATTCACTTTATTAATGAGTTGTTTATCGGATGAGTAGTAGTCCTCCAGAAACGAGTGGTCATACGGATGAACCCATGGATGAGGACAACGACAAGTGAGTGAACACATGAAGAAGGGATACAACGGAATTGAAGACTATATCCGACTCCACGATAATTTAGTCGACAATTCTGTGTTATATTCTGTTATATCGCATGACTTCCGGAAAGCAAAAGCATTTTAATTTTTGGTTATTTAATGTTTCTGTTTGTCAACACTTGTTGTGCTTTTGATAAAATCTGTTCTCCAAATGTCTATCCCGTCGTCGATCAGTGTTTGACATCAATTGACAAAAGACTGCATGAATTCATCACTAAATAGAAAGAAATGAATGGAAAGCAAGTGATGAGCGAACAGTTAAGACACTAAATCTTTGGACAATTGTTGGCTGCGATTACTTCACAGATAGTCTCCAGAAGTATAAATACTTTGGTTTGGATTTTTGATTTCATTTTAGACGTTTACGACAAATTGAATTTTTTGAATACAAAAGTCTTTTTGATATATAATTGTTTTGGAAAATTGAATAATTATTTAGACGTTTAGTCGACTCTCAATGAGACCGCATACCTGTGCCATAGCTTATCGAAGTTATCAACAAATCGATTCATTGGTAATGATTTACCAAAATCCAGACATTTTAATAACGATATATTTTTTGCTGACTTTATCATCTGAAAAACGAAACAAAACTTTTATTAAGTCTTTTAAATTCATACGAACTCTTCATTAAGAAGACTATTATATTATAATTACTGAAAAACCTCTTATAATTATAACATTAATATAATTCATAATTCAATTCATATAAGTCTACAAATATGTTACGTTTGAGTCATTTAACAGTAAAAATATTCATTGTTTGGCTCTTTATTGTGCAATAATTTCAATGTATATTACTATTGATTTCTTGTAATACATTTCAAACACTCTTTCACACAAAACCTTATTTCAAATCAAACACTAACTTATTATTCGCTATTTATTTCATCAACAAAACATTGATTCACGAAATTTTTACAAAATGATAGATTAAATGATAGCTTATTTTAAAGGCTTTTATAATACATTTGAAACACTTTTAATTTTAATGATTTTTAAGAGAATTAAGTTTTTTGCAGTTATTTATCGGAAACTATTTTTGTCTCAAAAGAAGCCAATTTTCATTGACAAATTATCTTTATCTTTGAATTATGACTTGTGATGATATAATTATCCCATTTATGGGAAACACTAGTAAATTGAGAACAAATAAAATAAAAAATGCCTTCAAATTGAGTGTTAAGGAAGATATATGTTTTCAGAGTCTATTAATGCAACGAATATAATATTATAGTAAATATGTTTAATGAATTGTATCCAAACATAAATCGGATGATATAATATATTATATGGAAATTATCACACATTTAATGATAAATGTAAAGAAGTACAGTATAATTGAGTTCACTTTCACTGAACGCTAGTTTGGAATCTCAATATTAATGACAAGAATTTGTTTTCAATTTGGATCTCAAGTCTAATTCAAAAGAATGAGAAAATTTTAATTAAAAGTTTTGAATAATGTTTTGTATAAATATTTCTTACAAACAGTTAATTTAGTACTCAATAAGACGACTATTTGCACACTTTATCGATCAACACATTATCTATTGTTTAATATACAGTACATCACTACATATGTTGTAGATATAACAAACAGACAATACTATAAAACAGTTATTTTGAAATTTGACTTAATTCTAGTCATATATGATTTGGTCATATAATGGACATGTAAAAACAAATTATAATTTAATGAACTAATTTTGCAAAAAAAATGTAACTGGAAATTGGATAGTCGAGTTGTACATGAGGTTGAGATTTAAAGTGTTTATATATTTGAATGAGAATATAATGTTTAATGAAAATGATATATAAATAAGAGTTAATATATGGTTAAAAGTGACAGAATTTTATTGTATAAATTGTTTGACTGATTGAGAGATATATATGAAAAGAGGTCTAATTTTAAAGCATACAAGATTGATATTTTGATTGGAAATGGATTTATTATAAATTAATTTGTTTTTATGTGAAATGATTGAAACATTAGTGCCGCTCATGAATCAGTCGGTGTCTTAAATTGTCTTTCAATTGGGAACCGATTGAAAACACTGTTATCTTGGATTCAAAATCTATTTAAATGATATTATTGTCATATATTATTGATTATTATAATTATATATAACTATAACTATTGATTATATTTAAATATTATCTTATATTATGATGTCTAGTCATTGATTGTAATAAAATATTTATAACTGATTTATCGACTTAAATTTAATATATATTATATATTATACACATATAAATAAAATAAAAATCATGTTCTTTTGATTTGGTTACATATAATTTCAAATTTTGTCATATTTTTATTTCACATAAAAAATTTAATTATAAGAACCAAAAATTAATTAATTAATATTTCATTTGCGATTATAATTGTATTACTATTATCATTATTATTATTTTATTATTATTAAAATATACTTTTATTATATTGAATAGAAATTTAAAGACTAAGTCATCATTGATTCGTTTCATACCAATTATATCCATATATAATTATTATACCATATATTATATTATATTGTAATTTGTATTTAGTATTAAGTCTCTCATATGATTATATAAATATATTATAAAACTTTTATTGTTATTTCTATTGTTTCACTCTTCTATGTATATATAAATTATTAAATGAAAAGTGGTTTCGATTTAATGTTAAATAAATAAAAACAATTTTTGCAACTATTTGTTTACTACTTAATTGATTGTAATTATATAACAGCAAATGAGACTATTTGCATACACTTTAGCTTCAAGTCGATTATTATTTGAAGAGTTTTAAAAAAATTACTTCTATTTCAATGGTTTTTATTCATGAGTTGATGGTTAGGCATAAAGTAATGCTTGATTTGTAGACAAACACAATTACACTTCAGTAAACAGGGCTTTAAACTAAAGCTTAATTTGTAAATTTATGGCAAATTGTTTCAATCATTTAACAGAATAACAGAATTCGCAGAATATTCCATCTTTTCAAACCCAAATTTATTCAATGAATGGCATATATTATAAATGTGATGATTTCAATGTCTAAAAGAGACTTGATTGTATCATACACTTCACTTAATAACAAATATTTTTAACCAACCCTACAGTGACATTTTATTTTTAAAATAATATTTTTTGTTTTATTTCGTACGAGTATAGTATGAAAAGGAAGTGAACTTACCGTACGGTCAGATTTGACGGTGTCTTATGGGAGTCCTTAGGATCAGTCTCTGTGGACAAAGTGAACGAAACAATCATTAAATGAATGCACTAAATACGATACAGTACAATTATTAAAATTACATTTCAAGTAATTTTCAATATGGAAGTACAGTACAGTACTTCTTATACCCTTTCTTGTTACACAAATATATTTGTTATTTTAATATATGAGACTCATTTACAAATTATATAACAATACCAGTATTATATTATACCTAAAATAGGGATATACTACTCACAAATCACAATTAGATTATCATAAATACATCTCAATATTTCAGCAAAATAAAAATTACTCTCTTATTAAGAGATATTTCTAAATTATTCAATCAATCATAGTAAAAGACACAACTCACTTATAGTCACTAGTGTTAGTATAATTACTATGCTTAATCACTTATTCTGGTGAATTTGTTATAAAAGTTCTAGATGTTTGTAATATAAAATACAGTATTTGACATTGCATTTGACAAATACCATATATAAATAAAGTATTTAGCACTTACTAAACTTCATTCTTTTATGTCTAACAATATTTGAAACTTTCACACTGGTATACAGAATCAACTGTATTGTTCATTAGGAATCCATACGTAAGCTATAAAAACACATTGATAAATCATAGCTCTTGGAGTTTATATTTTATTAAAATTAACATAATAGATATTTATGTAACAATTATTTCGAGCCATGTGTTGACAAATTATGACCTGAAATATGGTAATATAAATTTAAATACAAAAGATTAAACAAAGCGAAAAATATTTTATTTTTATTTAAGTACAATTAAATTAATTTGCAAACAATTCAAAACATATGTCATTTTTGTGTGTGAAATCAATTTGTAGTAATAGATAGATACGTTCAAGTTATAAAGTTAATAAATAAATTAAAAGACTAAATATTGATAAATCGATAATTATTTACATGGCGAATGATAAATAGTGTATATTTTACATATATAATAACAATTGTTAGTTTCGTACTCAAATTAATAATGTGATTATTGTCAAAATAAAACTTTTAAATGTATGATTGAATAGATTTACATAATCATATTCAACGAAACTAATGCTGAATTTTATTGCTAACTGTAAAGTAATTTTGGTTAATGTTATGGATTATTTTGCAAATAATTTTATATCTTCATCTTTCGCTTTGATATTATTTTAATATCTCTATTAATGATACGATATCTCTATGTGATTACCACTTTCCTCCCTGTCCTCCTCCGTAACTATTTTTGTTAAAATATATTAGGATTACTATTAAATCAATAATAATATGTTGATGTGTAATAAAATTGATGCCTACCTATAGGAGCCGCCGCCGT